TCAAAACCTTTGACATCCTCACTGAAACAACAACCTTTACAATTAAACACTACTAATTAATTTATTATCATCGCACTGAAATTTTATTACTCTCTTAAATAAGGTGATTTCAGATTAGCTCTCCTAAATAATTGCTCATCATTTACGTCATGTTGTATTACTAATTTCGCAACTCTTTACTCATTAGTTGCGTTGAAATGTTCAAAATCACTAAAACAAATTTTATAAAATAAAATTCAAAATCTTGAATCTTGTACTTTACAAAATTTAACTTGAATTTGAAGGTATAAATTAAACGTAGCCTGGTTATAAATATAATTACGTGTGGGGAGCATTATTAAATTATCTGTTAAAAATGTGATAAGGTATTTATTCAATGTCTAATCAAATTCACTAGTTTCGTGGTCCGCTTGACCAATTAATATCTTACTATTAATTAATGTTTTTAATTAAGATAAAAATGTCAATGGCACGAGCGGGATTCGAACCCACGATCTTCGGCTAGATACGCCGCTGCTCTACCACTTGATCTATCGTGATCTCGATCCTCTCGGACACTAACTTCCCATCTGAACCACACCTTTTGAATTTTCCCTCCTTTTTTGCCGTTTTTCAAATGTGTAATCTATTTGATTCTCAGCGATAAATGAAATGGCCACGGAGAGCTTTAGTGAAGTGTGGTTGAGATGGGAGATTAGTGTCCCAGTGGATCGAGGTCACGATAGCTCAAGTGGTAGAGCAGCGGTGTATCTAGCCGAAGATCGTGGGTTCGAATCCCGCTCATTCCATTGACTTTTTTATCTTAACTGAAAACCTTAATTCATTGTCTAGATCAAATTTAGTGAAAGTGGGTACATAAATAAATAAAGGCTGACGTGATATATATGATATATGATGAATGAGTAGATGATATATGAATAAGTATGATTCAATATAATTATGAACATATATATAGTAATTTTTTAACAAAGACACAAGTGAGAAAATGTAAAATAAAAAATATTTAGTTATGCATATTTTTAAAGAATTTATTTATTCATATTAATTGAAAAATGTGTAAAAAGGAAGCATATAACATGTATAGATCAAGTTTTCTACAAATATAGTAGAAAATAAACATTTCGCTTATTTCAAATAACGTACATTTTTAAATTTTCGTAATAACAATGTATTTTTCTAGTGCTAAAAGTTCTATAAAATAAAAGCGCATTTTTTAAAAAACTAAAAGAATTTTACAAGTGAAGTTGTTTAATGAAATCATAAATTATGTGTTGTAGATTTATCGACCAGCTTATATAGATAATGTTCACTTGGTTGGTATCAGAGATGTGGTCAAATAAAATATTTAAATTTCTAAAAAGTAAATAAATTTGAATTATTTTATTTACTACTACACTGAAAGTTTTTTTTTTCACTTTTTTCTTCGCCATTTCAGTGTTAGAATGAAAATAAAAGAATTCATGTTTATTTACTTCTGACTAAAAATCAGAAAGTACATTGATGTTAAATTGGCCAAAATTAAAATTTATAATATATCCTTTTGTAGAGCCCTGATGAAGGTACAATAAAGTTCCGAAAGCTAGGCAAAGATTAAAGTTAAAAATATTTTATTTGACGACGTCTCTGATAAGAACAGAGTGAACATTATCATAAGTTTTGAAAAAAAAATTCAGTTCAGGGTTACGTTCATTATTCCATCAAGAGTGCTCTATATTTAGTTTAATGATACTCAATAGAAAAAGTTCTATGTGGTTTATTTGTTATAGGATGAGCAAAAATTGAAAAAAAAATCTGTGAGCGAGGAACAGTCGATATCTTTTTTTTTTTACAATTTTGAATAAAAGTCGTAAGTTATGTTGAGTCTTCATGTAATGTTATGGAGTTTGTTATTAGGGCTACAAACAAGTTTTAGTACACAATTTTAAATATATAGGTAGGCCAGATGAACCCAGATTCCGCCGCTGGTCGTCAGAAATCTGCATCTGTTAAAAAAAATAATATACACAATGCACAAGTCCGTTTCCAATTTCAAAATTTCAATATTTCCCATCTAAACTGTCGGATTCGGCGATTGGAAACAAAGTTCCAACAGAGTTAAGAATCCGTGATAAGTCAACGAAGTTCATAAATCAACGATTAGTTGGCGACTTATTTGTGATTGTGTAATGGAAAAAGCCTTGTAATAAGAATTTTTAAACTATACCTAGTTTACGCAAATGTATGTGCGTATCTTCAGCTACCCCGAAGGATATCAAGTATTCTGGGGTAATGTGAATGAAATGTGGGCGTGCATGTAATTAATTAGCGTGAATGGAAGGATATATGCCCAATTAACTTTTGGAATATCGAGTACTCTGGAGGTATGTTAATGTTATTTTACTCACAATTGACGAGCCCCTGAGGTACTGAGTGGTAAAAAACTAGTAATGTTTGATGTCCTCCTCCAATTGCATAGTCAATAAATTTAAGTTGATATGAATATATTTTTCAACAAGAATTTATGAGTATTGAAAAATATTTTAAACAGATTTTTTGGCTAGTCGAATAAAAATACTAATAAGAAATAATCTAATGATATATACTTGACGATACAAAAGTTAATGTTGCTAAATAAATAGATAATATCGGATTGAACGATATATAATCATTATGATTATTGATGAGAATGTTTAATTTTTTATAACAATTTTATGTTAAATAAAATTATTTATTATATGAGTAATTTGATTTTGTGAACATGGTGTGAATGCAACTATATATTGTGTTTTATTATCGGTTATCTACCACTCATGAAGTTTTTTAATTTTTAAAAAACATAAATTTAACTGATTATTTTGAACGATTTATTCGGTTTGTAATCCAAAGGAATAAAAAATATCACTAAACTGAGCACTTTTTATTTTTAGATTTACCTTTGGAAAAACCAGGGATTGACAAAAGTCGAAAGCATATCATATTTTAAACTCAGATTAGTGATAGGTCTATTAACCGGTTACGGTATCTGAGAAAACATTTAACAACATGGGCATATTCAATAAGGAGACCATCTGCAGATTATTCAACGAGGAGGAAAGAACAGCTTTCAATTTCATTTTCGATTGCGAAGCAACCGCCCAATGGAGACATAACCTGACATAAAAACAAACCAGAGAATGGACTTGCAACTAAGACAGTCTCTGACCTAATGCTTCTTAGGAGAACTAAGGAACTAGAAAATTACAATAAGAAATCTGGAGTGCTTGGGGAACAAAAACCCCCTACTTCCTTTTATCCATCATCATCAGGGAGACGTAACCTGACATACAAAAAAACCAGAGAGTGGAATTGCAACAACGACAGTCTCTGACCTAGTGCTTCTTAGGAGAACTAAGGAACTAGCAAATTACAATAAGAAATCTGGAGTGCTTGGGGAACAAAAACCCCCTACTTCCTTTTATCCATCATCATCATCTAGTGCACACCTTGCGACCGTCAACATCCACGAAATATCATTGATATTTCTATGCCGCCAAATACGTGCCTTGTAAATACAGTAATGAGAAATCTGTTGAATGGTGAATTTACTATTAATATTATGGTTGTAAATTACAACTGATAAAATTTGATCCATATCTTATGACCAAACCAAGTGATTTGATATAACTAATTAATTGTACAATTATAATATTGTAATTATACTACAAGCATATGTAACTAACATTGTGTAAAATATGACGTATTATTTAAATAAATGCGTTCATTAAATAAAGTGAAAGCAGGTATGTTTAACAAAGAGGAATATTTCCATTTTCTCCTTACTTCTACAATAAATGTGACGAATTCTACAATCAAAATGGCATCGAAACGTTTCTGTTTGATTAACAAATTGAATTGATACTTTTATGATTCATATACATAATTTGTATGTATGACAAACGATGATATACAGAATTTTCAGAGGGTTTCTAAAAGACAATTTGTTTAAAATTTGACATCTTTTTATACATGCTTATAAATTTGATTATTGAGGAGTATTACTTTATAGGTAACTAATGGCTCTTGTATAAACAAACTGCGAATTATAGATTTCCTAAAAAGTTGTTACTTATGGACTTTTTATTACTTAAAATTAATATGTATATGTTTAGTTGGTCGTAAAGTAGTTATTTTAATTGATTTATTATGTTTTAGGAGAAATAAGGCTGAGTTGAAAAATTGGTGTAATGAGCTGGATTCGAACCCTAGACCTCCAGATCAGTCCCCTGGGCTCCTAATTTTAGTACGCTTTCCAGTAGATATGCCGGGGTCCCGCTCTAACACTAATTTTCCACCAACCAAGCTTTGCATAAAGAGTAATAAATCAATTAGGGGCGTCGTGTAGATGCAACGATTTTGGCATTGAACGGCGCTCATCACTGTAAGGTACAGGTCCGGGGTTCGAATCCAGAGGCCCTGCACTCGAACCCGACATACTTACAAATGGGCTTTTTTTTCTAAAACACCAGGACCCAGAGAGTTGATATGAGCTCTGCTGTTTGAAAAATCAAAGTTGGAATGTTTATTAACTTTTTATGTTAATTGATTTATATACGTTAATTGATTTTTTATACAAGGTAAGCCTGAAAAATGACTTCATTCAAGTTTGAAAGCTTAGTAAAAATTACAACTATTGGTTTTTATTCTATTATCACAAAATTAAAATATCCCCGAAATGTTTTATTATTGAGTTAATAAAGGGGGTCAAGGGCGTTCTGTAAGAGGAAGAAGCACAAAGAGATAAAGACGCGAAATGAAAGAACAGGGCCAGGCGCAAGGGTTAAATTAAATAAGAGTGAATTCCACAACAGATTTCAGCACGGCCGCGCTTCACATTATATTTAATATTACGTTTTCCCTAACCCCTTTAGCCCTTTTTCATATTAAATCTATTGTAAATCCTCGGAGCGATAGGTCGTTGAAATGTGAGGGGTCGGTTCGAAAAAGAAAAGAAAAAAAAACTGTGAGGGAATTTTAAGACTCACCTCCCAGGAAGGCGGCCTGGTTATCTTGGGCCGGATCATGGGGATGAGGTAGTTTTATTTCTGAAAATAAAATAAAAACCTTTTAATCAATGGGTGTTGAAAGATTTTAAAAAAGGATCATTACATAACACTCCAAGATAAATTTGATTCAAGTTCCCTTGGTTATAATTAAATCCAGGAGAATTTTAATCAATACGACAGCTATACAATGAAGGGCATCCGTAATTCTGGAATTGAGGGTTACTGAACGAGCTCTTCTTCTTAAATTTTGTAATGAAAACGATATTAAAAATTTACGTTACTTCAAAAAAAAAAAAATTAAAAAAAAAATAAGTAGAAGCGAACGCAGAGAAATGATTGTATATACACTCAGAAAAAATTCATCCTTTCCAGAGCCATCTTTTTGGGTGGTATTTTAAATTTTGTTCTTTGTTAAAATAACAAATTTGAGTAAAAGATTAATTATTAATGGGTTTTACTTGCCCAAGAGCCTACTGAGCATGACCATAGAGGTGTTGGAAAAACACAGAAAAAGGGAAAATGCAGAGTAGCGCCAGCTAAGAAAAAAATATCTATGACTCCAATGGTTTCTTAGTGTTTTGGTGAATTTTCTCTCAAACCATCATATTTTTATTTTAAATTAACCCTCATGAGTTTCTGATCTTATTCGATTTTGTTTACATTAAAATGAGTGTGTTGATTGATCTTCTTGATAACGATAAAAAAACATGAAGTTAGAAATAAACAACAAAACACGAATGTCCATTTTTTCCTATAAAAAATTAATAATTAATTTGTTTGTAGCATGAAATAATACGTTTATTGTTTTGTGGTAAATTCCGATGTTATAAAAGAGCATAGTTTACTGAGGTTAATCTATTTTCTATTTTATATATTTATAATGCTTATTTTATATTCGACAAATATAATTATTTTCTTAAGTTAAATTACGTTTTCTTTCCTGCAGCAGGAAGGAATTTTTCTTTCTGTCAGACAGTAGAAAAGAAATAATATAAAGGAACCCCTGTTGAAACAGACGCTTTATTTTCATTATCAGAGAAGGGGAGAGCCATAATGAAAAACCACCGCCTTGAATTTACGAGCGCACTGAGTAAAACGTAATTTGAAGGTGAACAGTGTGATAATTACATAACGACGTAAAAACAAAAGGAGGGAAAAGCGTAAAAAGAAAGAGGTAGAGAGGAAAAAAATAGGTATAAAAGAAAATTAGCCAATTGATCCGAACGAGCCACAGCTTGTGCATATGTTGCGGCGCATTGTTAGCCAAAACCGCAGGAATTGATACGCCCAAGGATGGTGCAACTTTACGGAAAATGGACGGCAGACGGAATCTCAGTTTATCTCGCATAACATATAAATCGAAATTGTTTCAAACATGTACGCAGCCCCGGAGCATTCGGAACTTATTCGAGCATGTTCATGAGAAAGGACAAGCAAACGAATATACGCGCCGACTAACACATTTGATTCTATTCACACAGCTGTAATAATTATTTCAACACAAAGAATTTTTTTATCTTTGTGTGCGTGATTCTTTTGTAATTCTCTGAAATCAGGGTCTTGACTTCTGATTCGCAAAAGGACAAAAAAATTCACCCATTTTTATCTCTTTCTTCCACTTTTTTCCATTGAAACATTTACTAACTTAAAAGAAACTGTCATTAGTCACTGAGAACTCATTATTAACTAATAGATTGAGCAAGTAATATATAAATTTTTAACATTAGAAGAAATTTTAAAGTTTTGAGAAATTTTAAGTTCTCACATAAGCGTCGGTTTATTTATTACCTTTATCCTTATAATGTTTTGGAAAAGACCACTTCTTCTTTAATATTTTTTCAACTTGTCTCATAAGTCATGGTTGAATTGATTAATTAAACAAGATATGGCTGGCTGGTTAGTTGAAGTAATTTTTTTAATTGATCACAAACCAATCATTCATGTTTCTTTACATACTTCATCAAGGCTTTATATCTTATAAAAGAAAAAAAGAAAACAAATCAGTTGTCATTAATTCTTAAAAGAAGTTTTCATTAACTGTAAAACAATATTGAATCTCACCATGATTTCTACTATTTTGTTATCTAAAGTTTTAATAAGTAAGTACTAACTTTATTAGATTTAGTATATTTAGATAGCAAATTTTGTAATAAATTTAGCAGATTATTAATAAATTTCGAAGTAGTATTTAACGAAATAGAATTTATGTAAATAATAATTATTTTTGTCCTTTCATCTTAGTTTCAAAGATGTAGATGAAACCTTCACTTTTCATAGATTTATATGTTCGGTAAATGGTTACTAGAATACTGTTCGAATTCCTAAATGAAAACCAACTGAAAACTCTTATAAGTACCAAATAATAACTATTAAGACGTGAGGAGTCTGGGTCGTTCTTGTGGTGCTGTGCTGGCTGGCTTGGAAGGACTCCTGATGGTGCTTCAAATGCAACGGGCAAATGGTACCCGGGAAGCGGGAAGGATGTGGACATTTCCAGAGGCATCGGTTGCTATGTAAAGTTTTATTCACATCCTCCTAATGCTACCAAAATTAGGTGTATACCCGTTGAGAAACGGGTGTAAAGGCGGCCATTCACGATCGCTCCAAGCAGTCCAAACGGAGCGATGCCGTTCCAAAAACCACGTCAGTGGCAAAACTGAACTGGCGTGCNAGCCCGGGTCGGTCGGCGCGGCCCTTGGGGTGGCGAGGGTTCTCACTGACAAAATGATATTGAATGAATGCATGTAAGACAAAGTCAGACAATAAAACAATAATTATATTTGATCCTTCATCATTACCAAAGTTTTCTCTTTAATAATACATTTACTTCGTTTTTCATAAGTAAAAAAATATATATCTACACAATTCTATTATTTTAATAATAATTTATTTCTGTCTTATGTTAAGTCGCAGGGAATCGTTTACTTGAATTAGGTTTTTACTGAATAGAATTTACTGAAATAGAAAACGTCACCTTGGTTCAATTTGCGGATTATTCACCTTTTGTGGCCTTCAGGTGCGATCAAAAACTCCTTAAGTAATATGACAAATAATAAAATGCGTGCCAATGAAAGAGAAGAAAGAAAGCAAAAATTGTAATGTTTCATGATTGCATAAAAATTCCTCATATTGATAGCTGTAAAATCCTAGTGTCTTTAATTGATAATCTCTTATCCTGGTCTGAATGTGAAAAAGAAAATGCCAGTCAATTATTCCTTTTTTTTCTATTGCTCAAAATTAGAAAAACCGTATAAAAATACCACAGGTACTCTCCCAGGGAATCCTGAGCTGACATACCTTCCCGTCCGATTGGGGAAATGGCTGTCGTATAAGAAAAAGTGTAATTCTCATCATTTAGAAAAAGTGTATGAGGAGTAATGAGTCTTGTAGAATAATTTTAAAGTAAATGAAATATAATATAAATGATAATATGATAAATTGCTCTCTATCCCACTAACTCTTTCTCTCTCTCTCTCTCTCTCTCTCTCTCTCTCTCTCTCTCTNATAGATACTCATACACTTTTTCTAAATGATGAGTATATCCCTTATATAATGTATATAGTGTACATGCACTTAAAACAAGAAATGGAATAAATAAAGAAGTTGCTATATTATTTATGTAAAAAGACAAGAACGTTAAACTGTTTAATAAATTGCCAGTGAACATATCATCACTACCTCCAAACAAATATAAAAAAAATTGGTTAATGACTACAGATAAACCCACCTTCAATTTATTTTATTTTATTTTTTTTATGTTGGCTGTATGTAAAATTATAATTGCCACTGATTAATCAAACAGTAATGTATCTGTACATTTTTGTTTACGGATAAAATATATTATATCCCATCGTGTTTGCCTTTTAAAACATTTTCTATCTTTTTCAAAAGTCAAAAAAGTCCATTCAATTATTAATTTAATAACAATTTATTTCTGTAGTCTGAAAAAAAATGTGGGATGGAACGACGCATTAACAAAAGAAAAATTATGGTTTATTTTTACATTTATGCTAGTATTGATTTTTTGTTCATTAAAATAGTTAATTGACCAGATATTGTTTGATAAAAAATTATTATTCAATAAAACTAAATGTTAAACGTAATGGAATAATTAGAATGTGTAGCCGTGATGATAATTTACGAAAGCTCACCTATAAAACTATTTGCATGAAAGAACGATGCTATCAGTTTTTAACTTTTGTCAAAGAATATATGATTGATCAGTAAGTATTGAACGAAATGTTATTTTGGTCCATAAAAGGTACAAAAAAATTAGGTAACCGCGGTGGCCGTGCTGTGCCTCGCCTGAGCTTCTGGGTTCCAAATCCGGCCATAGCCCATGAAATTTTAATTGAGAATTGTATGAAAAAAGCGTTGTAAAGTGGTTCTAAACCCTCGTCAGTGACAGCCAACGGGCAGTTGGACGTTAAGCCCTCCCGTATGACAGAAAATACTTTTTACTTTATAAATTAATTTTCCCAATTTTCATCTATTCTTTGCACAAAATTTTTTCTAAATAAAACACGTAAAAGGTAATAAGTAGAACAGGTCATATTTTATGGTAGCATTTGATAAGTATTTTTTTATTACAACGAAAAAATTTCCATCTATTTTCCAAATTTTTTTAAACATTTGGTTAATTATTGTTTTAATTTTTTAAGAAATGCAATTTTGGAAAAAAAATAAATACAATTTTTTCTATTTACATCCATTTCTTTAGCAACGTTCTCCATTTCAAACTTTTATACCCATTTTCGTAAATAAAGTAACCAAGTTAGTTAATTAAATCATTGGCGATTGGTCTTTGATAAGGATTTTGTGAAAATGATTTTTAAGCGTTCTTAACAAGCGAAACACGTTTTGTCATTTGTTCATTTATAAATTTATTCTAATAATCATTTATCATTTCTTTTACATATAATTCTTTTAAAATGGGACAATCTAGTATTACTAAAACTATCAGTAGAGCACGATGTGCCTCGAGGCTCACAATTGAGTCCGCTCCTATTTATAATATATATATAAATGATTTAAAGAAATCCATTGCTCCTGATATTGAAAATAATGTCCCAGTTTGCAGCCGATTCCTCTGTGGTGATTACTGCAGATGACATTGATAACCTTGATTGGGTAAGGGTAAATACCTTAAAAAACATGACCAAATTGTTTGAAAATAATTATATGTCAATGATTGTACTCAAATCAAAAGAAATGATAGTGTCCTTTAACTATAAAAGATAAACACAGGTAAATACTTGTCAAATGTTAGGGATCATTATTGATAGTCACTTATCATGGTGCCAGCACATGAAGGATAGGTTGCCTTCCCTTTGTTTTCTAATGTTAAAAATTCGGGATAGCATGTCATTTCAGATGCGGCGGATACTTTGCACTTTTCCAAGGGGTCATGGCCTATGGGTTGCTAGTGTGAGGGAGCAGTTCTCAAGTAAAAGATATCCTCGTTATTCATAAAAGATGTGTAAGAATAATGTGCTACTTGAAAAGAAAAAAAGTCCTGTAGATTAGTCTCTTGTAAATATGAAATTATTACTGTGACAAACCTGTACACCACGTTATTGTATATTAAGAAAAACATTGTAAATGATATATATGTAAATAATGTACATGAACATAATACTAGATCAAAAAATAAGTTGTCTTATCCATTCAGTACAAAGTCTAAAATTACTCACAGTTTTGAATTTGTTGGAGTCAAGCTATTTAATAAACTACCTTTATTTATACCAACATTTCCGGCAAGTTCTTTAAAGAAAGAGTTTACCAATGGCTACAAAACAACCCATTTTACACAATGAATGAATTTTTTAAGACAGCGGTTGAAACAATTTAAAATAATAAAACGTACATTTAATGAAATGTAATATATGACATATTCAAGCAAAATGTAACTCTTGTTCATGAATAAAAATATTCATATTCATAAATATTCGATTAATTTGGATTTTCTAGCACTTTTTAATTTATAATTTAAATTTATTTTTCTAGCGACTCCTTCGTTCATAATTAAAATTAAATAAATTTGCATTATTTTTTATAAAATCAAGTTAAAATTTCTTATAAGAAAGTTATTAAAGGTTTACTTACAAAATTAAGTCTGATATAAGGTAATATGCGACATGCACATCTACTACCTCTTTATTTAAATAGCTACCTTCTTATTAATATTAAAAAGTAAAATAACAGAATTTAAATATCTTTTATTTGTTTAGAAGTATTTTTTTTCAATTATTTTTTACTCCTTCTTTCTACAACTCATTTTTATAAATAAGTTCAGACATGACAAGTATCATGGCTAAAGACATTTTCATAAATTCATTTCACAAAATACATAATAATAATTTAAAATTTGCTTTTCATACTTGTGATGATAATGATGTGTGTCCTTTCTTGCCTTTTGCTTACAGAAATGATAAATGATGGAGTGAGTGTGGTGTTCAATCCTTTTTAAAAAGATAGTTCATACTCACAGTGTTGTATTGCAACGATCCGGATTTCGAGCCTTTTAGCTCATCATCAGGTTGAAGGACTTCTACAACCTGATGATGAGCTAAAAGGCTCGAAATCCGGATCGTTCAAAACAACTTACTGTGAGTACGAACTATCTTTTTAAAAAGATTTTTGGCTTATAGTGTTAGATATCTTGGTGTGACATTGGACTCGAATTTGAGATTTAATTTACATTTGATTCTTTGGTTACTCGTCTGATAAAGCTCTTTTATAAATTTAGAATTTAACGCAACTTTATTAAAATTGAACTCTTAAGGGCAATATATTTTCTTCTTGAACAATCCATAAGAGCCTATGGTATTGTTTCCTGGGGAGGTACTAATGAATGCTACTAAGACTCTGGATGTAACTATGAACTCATTTCTTAAAATTTTTTTACGTAAATCGTATAAATGTAATACGAAAAAATTATACAGTGAATTTAAAGTAATGAATCTTTACCAAAACATTCTTAAATATTCATGTTTGAATATATATATATAAAGTTAAATAATTTCTTTGGACGAACGTGTTTTTAAAAAACTTTTATTCAAAGAAATTACAAATAAGTTACTGATATACATTCAGAACTTTATGAATCTAAATCAAATCTCGTCGATATGCTTTCGGGAAATCTGGCTTAAGACTAACGTTTGTTAAAAATGAAAATCCTTATAAAATTTCTAGAGTGGGAGAGAGTGCTGATGACAATTCTAGGAGCAACACCTGCATCCTAGCATTGTCATCACATTATTTATTTAACACAATGTTTATACTCGTGTATAACTTATATAAACTTGTAACTAGTTACATCAGTGAATAGAAAACACAATTCATTGGCTAATTCACATTTTTACAATGTAAACACTACGCAATATTATAACTTTTCATTAAATATGGCACTTTGTTTTTTATTAAAAGAGGATTATTATTCAAAATATCAAAAACTAAAAAGAAGGCAAAAAATTTATAATTTCAAAAATTGTAAATTGTAGTTGATATTTTAAAACCAAAATTTAATTTGGTTGGTTCCTTTCATGCTACAAATTTATTTTGTATGCTGTTTGTTTATTAGTTTGTTTTTCATTTTGTAAATATATATTCTCTTTATTTCTCTGATGGTCTTCAAAAACTCCTGCTTTGCTTTTCGACTGCTGGCAGGGATGTACCAAAATATTATTTTTTGTTATAAATTTATATGTAATGTGCATTCTTGCAAATAAAGATTTATTATTATTAAGTAAATGTTTATTTTAATTAATTATCTTAGTTTGCATTCTTATAATCGAGAAACGGATGATAGGAAAAAATTTTTGAAAGGTAGAAATTTAAAGGATGTGATTTACAATTTCTATTTGTTCACTTGTTTTATTTATTACAGCAAAAGTTTGGAAAAATAGCGATAAATGCCTTTTTTAAACATTTTTGGAAAAAATATAAGATAGGTTCCATTTGCGAAAGAAAAGCAAAGCTCGGCATGACGGATATTTCAACGTTTCAACGTCGTGCCCTCTTTAGAAAAATATGTAAAAAAACATAAAGGGATGAAAAAAATTTTCCAACATACCGTACAGCCGTAGGGTCCCTTCGGCTTTTCCGAGGGAATTGGTCGAGATACAGTTGTAGGTGCCTATGTCGGACGAGCTGAAGGCACGTATGACGAGCCACATAAAAACCTTGTAGTTCGAACGGTTTTCTCGGACCTGGTACTTTGATCTGAAACACATCAAAACACAGACTACACTTTTGATCCGGCTTTTATCGATTTACACGTAACCTAATTTTTTTCGTGAGCTCAGTAAATAAATTCGTTTTATGATGTAATTAAAGCAATAAAGTGACATTTTACGAGTTCCAATTAAACCGAAGATTACATCAAACATCAAAATCAATTATTTTTTCCGCCGGAACTCAACTGTAAAGAATTTGTGTGTTTTGAACTTTGATAATTTTTTTATCTGGTTACCTATATGCAGCCTTAATGTGGCGATTTCACTCTGGCTTTCTAACAATATTTCTTCACCTTTTGTTTTCAGTCTACTGGTAGTGCTAAATAATAGACATATTTAACTTGCATTTCACTGCTTAACATTGTACATTTAAAACGTTCAAGTGCTGTTTTGTCACAAAAGATTTGGCTTCTTAGTTCATAAGAGATTTTCTGCCTGCGAGTGTGTCTACATGTGTTTGGTAATTTGTTTTCCGTTGGGGGAAAAATTGCAAATTCCTCATAATTAATTTATTGATGTAAGTATAAACTAAAAAAAAATAATTATTTTGTCCGGCCGGCTGGCTACAAGGGCCATCGTCAACGCCTCACGTCGTTTCAACTTCGTATATACAGGGTGTTCGGCTACTACAATAGTATTACAAACTTTGCCACTAGATTCTACATTCAAAATGAAACCAAAAATTCCTAATTGTCTATGGTCCGAATCTCAACAGTTTCGGAGTTTTTCCACTTTTCCTGATTTTTTAAAATTTCACGACTTCGCCTCAAATAAACAATGAAAACTCCAAAACTAAAAGGTTTTGGACAAATCCGTTCTTACCATTGAAAACTACGTTAAATTTACAATAAGTTGAGATCAAATACTAAATTTGTAAACGTTTGTGAAATAATCGTTTTAGTAGCCAGAACATTGAAAAATATTTTTTTTTTAAGTTGAAAAACATACTATGGTGATTCTAAACTACTATTTCCAAACCTCCCCAGAATCCCCCTGCAACATTGCTCCTTGGCAATGTTGAGACTGAGTCGGTCTTCAACGACATTCGAAATTGTCTGTGAAAAAGTTAAAATTGTCAATTTGTAGGCATATTTCAGATTGTTTTGCCTTGTTTAATGGCCTAAAGTAGGTCGAAAGCTCGGCAATAAAAATTGAATTTGCTTTTCAAGACCATATTGTAATCCAAAGCAGTAAACTAATAAATACATACATTTTAATAATTAAAAAAGTGAAAACTCATAACTTTTATTATGCCATTTTAAAATTCATTTTGGTATGTAAGCATTTTAAATTGCTCATATTTTTTTCCTTTAAAATTCATATTATAATGGTGATATTATGATATTATTTTTCCCCATTTAATAATCTTTTCCGCTATAACATTTTTAACATTCTCTTTGTTTTCACTTTGAATTTATTCTTGTTTTGATATCCCCACTGTATATTTTTATTCAGTGCAGCAAGGGGAGAAAAGGTATTTTGCATCTGTTTAATATATGCAGTGGAGTAAGACACAGTTATGTGCGGTACTTACTGTTCACTTTGTTTTTATATGATTTACCGTCTTTCCCTGAATGCGGTATTAATGCTGATGTATGCGGACGATATTGTAAGCCCCTCGGACAGCACGGACTTCAAAAGGGATTTCAAGTACTTCAAACAATTCTATTGTAAGATGTGAGGAGTTAGAATTAATTTGTACATATGGATTTTTTTAGAAATCTTATTTCGGAAATAGTATGAATAGCAAGATTCCTAGAAAAAGGAAAAATACCAATGCACAGTTACAGGATTCTTGTTAATCCAGGCATTACTAATTTTATTTTTAATATAAAATACGACATATGAAAAAGAAAAAATTGGCTTGAATTCATCGAAAAACGCTTCATCTAGTGATAGGAAAAGTTAAACTTAAGGGGTTAGTAAAGATTTTCGGAGAGCATGTTTTATGGTTTAATAATTTTATTTACAACTACAAATATTATTATTAAATAAATATTTTCGATTTATGCTAAATTTGTTTTGAGTCACTTGTAGGAGAAGTTGCCCATTGACAATACTTTACTCTGAAACCTCGCTTTCCTTCAATCACTGAAAAAGTTTCAGCTAAATATTTGCTTCAATCGTCCTGTATATTGAAAATAGAAATGGGCCACGTATGCTTGCATGAGAACTACCCGCTTTAATTTCATAAAGAGAAAATTCAGTTCCCAGATGGACTCGACAAATGCATTCCGAATATATTAATATTTTTTAACTCCATTTGCATTATTTTTTAAGCTAGACTTTACTATTTGCATACGTACCAAACTTTCAAAATTTATCGTATGTCAGCAATTTTTCACCGTCATTTAATTGTTCGAAGTTTGTTGTATTTTTATTTAATCTCTTTTTTACAATAGTGAATCGTTAAATGTGATGTTATAGTGACAAAATTATATTATAGTACAAAATAGTATATAGTATATAAATCGTAGCTATTAAATCTCCTCAAATTAAAAAAAAAAAGTTTTGATATGATGAAAACTTTGGGATAAATGTGTACCGAAATGTGAAAAACCATTTCCAAAGAAGCTTTTTGGACCGGGCTTTTTATCCTAAACATAACACGCCAATTCCAAGGCAACGTTTTAGTTGTAAGGAAATTTTTGATAAGGAATATATTAAAAAAGCCAGCCTTCAAATATCGTAAGGAATGGCGAGCTGCAATTCATCAAGGAAAAATTCACTGGAAAAACTTGATTTAAAACGTTTGAAAAATTCTATCGCTCGGAATTCTATGTGACCTGTTTCAATCTGATCAGAAAAAACAGAAAAGATAGTTGTTTAATTAATTTTTTTAACTACAATAAAAATCATAATTTTGTCCTAAAAACAGTTTTAACCCCTTAAATTTGTTAATAAAAATTGATGTTTTAGTGTTATATCTTTCCCTTTCTTATTGCGTTGCCGATTTCTTTCCTAGTCCCATGCTTAGTTTGCATATTTTGTTTAGTTATCACAACTTTTATTGAGTTTACTTTTAATTCCTTAAAGACAACAAAATCATTCGGGCTTTTTAATTTTCTTTTTTCGTTATAAATCTTGTTTATCAATTAACTTTAATTTACAATTCAAACAAAAGCATTAGTTGGTATTTTTTTCTCATAATTCTGCATCTAAGGTCTTATTTATTTTCTAAATTATTTCTGTTTACTTAACTTTTACTTAGATTTAGAGAACATTTTATATATATATTTAAACGATTTATTAAAGGTTTAGAAAAATCAAATATATCGTATATTGTGAACGATCTGTATTCTACTTTAACGTATCGTTTACTTTATTGCTTTTTCGGAAAACTTTCAATTGGCTTCTTAAAAAAAAATAGTAATATTTTTTTAACATTTTAACTGTTGAACATAACTCTCAATATGCCCCTAAATAAAATAAATTTGTTAAAATAAATTAGCCTAAAGATAAAATTTTTTAATGCTTATCTTTAAAAAAATCGTTATTTTATGATCATCTTTATTATCTTTTCTGCATATGATTTTTTTATAGTAGTTGTGTTCAACGATACACGTTATTTCTTATGTAATAGTTGACCTACGGTAAAGCAAATACTATTAATTTATTATTCAATAAAATCTTTTATACTTCTTTGCTTATTCTCCTTAAAATATTTTTAATCTCATGATCGTTTTGGCACCGTATTCCGTCTCAGGATTAAATAGGGATTCATCTTTACCTGATTGAACGTTATACAACGAAAATCAGGCTTTAACAACTTAATGGAGCAAAGTTCTCATGGAGCAAAGTTCTGTCATACAAGCTTTGCGTTCTACTACACATAGGACGAGGATTCAGACTATATTAAAGACTTTTTCTATACAAATTTCATGATGGTACCGAAAACAGCACCTTGACATGTGACACCTTTCAGACATTACCATGCGTTGATTTTTTACAACCTTTATCGTCTTCAAGAGTATGGATTCATATCTAACTGATCATTTAGTACAAAACTCCATGTTCTAAAAATAATCGCTTATGAGTGCAACGTAAGAAACTAGTGAGAAGAGACGAACCCCATGTCGATCAGTGTTAAATTGAGCACATGTAACATGATTTAAGTCGAACAGACAATTTGATTTCACGGTTCGAAGCAAAAGAGTTTTCTGCAAAAAGTGAATTCTAACATGTCTTGAATGTCTTAGAATCTTATTTTGCCGGTGGGTGGAGGTAGTTAAGTCGCGTAGTTAAGTTGGGTCGGCCCAGATAAACTCGGTCCCTTCCAAAAGCGTGTAATTATTGGGTCCGGTGATCCGTGCCCTAGCCGGACAATGCCAGATAAGCCGCTTCTAACAAGTTGTACCAAAGGTACACACTGGTTATAGCCTATCTCGCTCTGTTGCAGACATCTCCTTTCATCGGCCAATTTTGAAAACGGATCGTATCTCAAGGGCTCGGCCGGGGAAAAATTGGTCATTTCTGGTTATTGGTTTTGCCAACGACTTTAAACCTTTCTGTATCTTTTCTCCGGAAAATAAACCCGGTCTTTTAGTGGGCGAGCTCGACCCTTCAGACATGTCAGATTGTAATCTGGAGTATATTTCATAAGCAGGCATAACCTTTTACCTCCGATAGAGTTTATTTCATAAAACCATTAAAATCATAAAAATATTTTCAAAACCTTCAATTTTTGTTTGATTTTCTGGCTATTTAAGACACAGGAAAACGTAAGTATAACTAAGACTAAGTAATGGAGAGCAAACAAAAAAAGCACTTACAAAATGAAAGAGACATGAAGAAAGTGCAACACTATATTTGCCACAGAAAGAAATATAACAATAGAGAGAGTGAATAAAAAAAAATGTGTCAGACAATAATATGTAGACAAAAAGAGCAGCAAACGGACAAACAAGAAAGGGCGGAGACATATACGAACAGAAAGAGAGAGAGAGGGAGAGAGAGAGACAGAGAGAGATAGAGAGAGAGAGTGAG